CTGGGCAGCAGCAGGGGAGGCGCTCCAGACTGCCGGAGGCGAATGCAGGGAGGGAGGGAGGGAGGGAGGAAGTGAGCTATGCTGCAGGGGGAGGAGGGCAAAGTGGAGGAGGGACTCTCTCTCGCTGTCGGAGCCCCATGTAAGTGGCACCATCCGGCTGCCCTGTTAGCCGCACGTGCTCTGCAGTGGGGGGGGGGGGAGGGAAGTCCGGACATTAACAAATCCCCCCCGGAAGCTATTTTTAGTTCAAAAATCCGGACATGTCCGGGGGAATCCGGACGAATGGTAACCCTAAATACAATAACAGGGTTAAAGTGGGAATATTGAGTAGGACTACAGTTGATACTGGTGATCAGCTCACCACCACAAAAGCGTAACCCCTGCTGGCACCACTCCATGCTTACCCAAGGCTTGCAGTTTGCAAGAGGCAACATCATCCTTTGCCCCCCAAACTACACCCATGTAAAAAGGGCATAGTGGCCCACGGCCTCCCCCCGTTCCAGCACTGGTGCCCCCCTTCTGCAAAGGTTCCAGTGCCCTTGGTTTTAGTTTCCATACTTCAAAAAAAGGTTGAAAAATTGAAGAGGGTTCAGAAAAGAGTCACACAAGAGATTTGAGGTCTGGAAACCTGCCTAACAGTGAAAGATTTAAGAAGTTCAATCTATTTTATCAAAGAGAAGATTAAGAGTGGATTTAACACAAGCCTTAGGTAATTACATGGGGAGAAGATTTCTGATAGTAAATGGCACTTTAACTTCGTGAACAAAGATATTTCTGAAGATTTCTAAAATACAGTGGCTGGAAGTTGAAACTAGACAAATTAAGACTGGGGGGAATAGGTTGCAAAATTTTAACAGTGATTGGAATTAGCGCAAGAGCCAGGCCTGCCCCAGAGGGCTGTATCCCAGGGCTGGGGGGAGGGTTGCAAGGTGATCTCCCACCTCCATGCAGCCAGTGGCCTGTGCTCTTCACTGCCATGCTGGAGCCTCTGTATTTATTTATTGACAAATAACATTTGCAGAATTTTAAAATATTGTGCACAGAATTTTTAATTTTTTGGTGCAGAATTCCCTCAGTAGTAGCAGCAGATGAAGCAACTCACCAGGATTAGCAGCTCCGTGCCAGGCACATTAGGTGTGGGCAGACAGAGTCATCCTGGCAGGGTCCAAGTGTGGGGTGGCTTAATGTGGGGGGATCCAGGTGTGGGGTTCTGTGTGGGGCAATCTCGTGTGGGTGGCTCTGTGCAGGGTCTGGATATGTGTAGAGGAATCTGGGTCAACGAGGGCTCATTTTGGGGGTTTCGGGTGCATGGGCAATGGGACTCTGCAGGGGGGTTCAGGTAAAGGTGGTTGGGGCTCAGTGGGGAGGGTCTGGGTGTGGTGGGATGGGGCTCAGCGGGTGATCTGGGTGGCTCAGCAAGGGGTCTGGGTGCTGAGAGAATGGGGCTTGGCGGTTGGAATCCAGATACAGATGGTTGAGGTGGGGATCCAGATGCAGAGGGTTCATGGGGTCATCCAGGTGCATCAGGGCTCATCAGGGTGGGAGTTTTAGTGGGGGGGGCTCAGCAGGGGATGGTGTGGCTGCGGGGGAGGGGGAGGAGGGGCTCAGCAGGACATGGTCTGTGTGCAGGGATGGAGGTCCAGATGCAGAGGGGGTGGGGCTTGGTGGGGGGTCTGGGTATGGGGGGGTCTGTATGCACAGGGGTTGGGCAGAAGGGGGAGCAGCTCTCTGTGCAGTGACCCCTCCCCCACAGCTGAGGTGCAATGGGGGCAGGAAGCAAGGGAGGCATGCGGAACCATGGGAGATTTCTGGGGGTGGCCCTGACCCGGCCCTGACCCCGCCCTGGTTGCTCCACACAGGGAAGTGCACACCTCCCCCACCCCCAGCCTAGCTAGGACTAGCAGGTGAGCCCAGCACAGGGTAGGAGTCACCAGATCAGGTGGGGCTGGGGAGGACCGGGTGTGGGGAGTTTGGTGGGCGGGGGCTCTGGGTGTGGGGGGCTTTGGCTGCAGGGGGTGAGGCTTCGCAGTGTGGGAGTTCTGGTGCAGGCGGTTTGCTTGAGAGGGGGTTCTAGGGTGTGAGGCTCAGTGGTGGGGTAGGGGGATAGGGGTGTCTGGATGCATGGGGGTTGGGTGGACGGGGGGTGGGTCTGATGGGGAGAGATGCATGACTGCTTTTGCAGCTTCTTTTTGCTTCCCCATGAGAAAGTCATTTTTCTGAAGGGAAGCAAAGAAATCTACCCGGGATATAAATTCTGCCCCCATGCAGTGGTGCAGAATTCCCACAGGAGTATATAAAAGACAGAGGGCTTGCAAGTTACAGTGGGAAACACAAACTGCCAGCATCCAACCAGGTACAAAAGAGAGAGACAGAGGCCAGCTCTCTACCTTATACCAAGGGTAGCAATGTATCTATTCTTTTGGTAGTCTCATAGACTCCAAGGTCAGAAGGGACCATTATGATCCTCTAGTCCAGGGGTTCTCTCAACAAAATTTTTGGTGGCCTCAGAGTGCAGCCACCAACTCTCACTGATGGCCACACTGACACTTTTTCCTAAAATACTTAATTAACATTAGGAAAAATAATTACATATTCACAGATACACATCCAAATCATTGTAATTTATATTTGTAGGGTTTTTTGGCAGATTCATTAATAAAAATAATGCTGCCTCCCCCTTTGAGAGTGATATTTGTATATTTGTTAATATCACAGCACACTTAGTAGCTACCTGGGAGACTACGAAAAGTGATGTGATTTTTAACAAACATACAAGTGTGGAAGAAAACATAAAATCATCATTAATAAAGTTTGCAGGTGCTAGAAAGGTTGGGGGATAAATAAAGAAGAGGACAAATCACTGTTCTGTAGCGATTGTAGCTGGGAGCAGTCAAACAATATGTATTTCAATATGGCCAAATGAAAGATCATACATCTAGGAACAAAAAATACAGGCCACAGTTACAGGATGGGGGGCCCTATCCTGGGAAACAGTGGGAGTCATGATGGACAGTCAGATGAACATGAGCTCCCAGTGCAAAACTGTGGGTAAAAGGGCTAAGGCTTTCCATGGATTTATAAGTGGGAGAATCGAGGAGGAGTAACAGGGTAATATTACCAGTATATCTGGCACTGGTACAACTGCTATGGGAATACTATGTACAGTTCTGGTGTCTACACTTCAAAATGGATGTCGAAACATTGGAGAGGGTTCAGACAAGAGCCACAAGTATGATTAAAGGATTGGAAAACACCATGCTTTACAGCGAGAGACACAGTGAGCTCAATCGATTTAGCTTATCAAAGGGAAGGTTAAGCGATGACATGATCATATAAGTGTGACACGCTGTAACTCAAAAAAGCACTCTGTAACCCCAATATTCACCACTTATACTTAATATTGATCAGAGTTTATTGGCTGAAGTTTTTGGGGAATCTACTCATCACAAAGGCTGGTGCATATTCGTTTCTCTTTGATGGAGTAGTGAACTAATTTATGAGCTTGCAATGTCGAGTGACTGAAGAGTGCAAGATGGCACATTTCTGGGGTGCAAGGCTGAGACTAGGGATATGTGGGTGTTGCCCTACCTGTAATTTAAACGTGGCTTTATATATATATAGCACTTTGATATATGTCTGGGGGTGACTTGCATGCTGGAGGCTGGGGCGGGTAGCAGTGTCACCTCCCACAACAAAGCAGGGCATAGTTCCAGATTGGAGAATTAAGGGGGCATAGGAGTCCTACTGCCTGGATTGCACCCTGGAGGATGTCACAATAAGTATCTACATGGGGAACAGAAACGTTATAATGGAGGGCTCTTCAGTCTAGCTGACAAAGGTATAACAAGATCCAGTGGCTGGAATTTTAGAAATTCAGACCGGAAATAAGGTGGCATTTTTTAACATTAAGCATAATTAATCCCTGGGGGAAAAAAACGTACAGAATGTTTTGTGGATTCTCCATCACTGGCAATTTTTAAGTCAAGATTGGATGTTTTTCTAAAAGATCTACTGCTAGTTCAACCACAGCTATTGGACTTGAAGCAAGAATTAATTCAGGGAAGTCCTGAGGCCTGTGTTATGAAGAGATCAGACTAGATTATCACTAAATTATCACAATGGTGTTGTCAGTTGTTGGCTTGCGCAGGTGTGTTCTTTCAGTGTGCTGTCCAGCTCTGTGCAGATGGCTGGTTTAGCAAATCTCAGTAGTACTACCCAGTGCTGTTGAATGTTGAAGACTGGAATTCTGTTGCCTTGGTAACGCAGTTTAGGCTGCTCAGTGCTTCTGTCCTTGAAGATACTGCCGTGTGTTAGTTCAGCAGACCTCGGCGTTATTCATAAAGGAGGACTACAGGCACGGTTCGGTGGCAAAGATGCTCAGCCAGGTTTATTGTCAATGAAGAATGGTACTAGCTCCCTGGATCAGTGTCTACTGTTACACTAACACATGTATGCTCATTACAATAGACTCAGCTTAGTGAATGGCGAGACTCTCTGCTGTCCCCTAGGCTGGACAAAGGGATAAGGCCCAGTACCCTGACATTTAGAGGCTGAGGCAAACAACTGGAATACACAACTTATGCACCAATTTATATATTTTATGACATCTATTTGCTACCTCCTCTTGTTCCTGATATCTTGAATAAAACATCCCTATTCATTGTACTAGATGTATCTGTACTAACTGGAATAAAGTTACGTAAATATCTAGTGCCTAGTACACTAGCCACAACTTTGTCAAGTTCATGTACTGGACAGTGAACTTGTAAGCATCTGCTTTAATACATGGCCTGAGTTTGGTTCACAGCCTTTGGTTCAGGGCTTAGATCTTGCACCAGGTCCAGTGCTCCAGGCTCTCTCTCTCTCTACTACACCTTCTGGATCTAAAATCTATAAATCTACTCCCTACAAAAGTGATATTCAATTAGCTCTACCTGCAGGCCGATTTGAGAATTTTATGACGACAAGAGGTGGGCCATTTGCACAGGAGTCTGACAAAAAAGTTCAGCTGCCAATAAAGACCTTAATTAAAACATAAGTATTAGTGTTTCTATCTTTTAACAAAGTTTATAAATCAACATTATTACCTATGTTTGTGGCAATCTTTAATGGGAGAGGTGACAGCGACGATCTCTGGCAAACTTTGTGAAGAGTGGTTTGTAGGAGGTCAGGGCAACGTGCATGCCCTGGTGAAGATGCTCGTCCATCAGGTGATTGTGGTGTTGGTTTTTTATACTGTTTATGGTAGAAAATCCAGATTTGCAGAGTTATGTTGATCTGAACATTGTTAAAAGATAGTTGGCTAGATTCTGGCTATTCTGAAACTGGGCAGCATATTGAGTTGAGAAATCCCAAAGTCCCACTTCTCTGAATTTTGCCTTCAAGACATCTGGAGCTTTACAATTTCTAATGGAAAGGCACCTTCATCAGTTAAAGTAAGACCATTCTTTGCTTCAGAAGGGCAAGGTCCATCGGCAGAGACAACAAATGGATCACGAACAAATAAAAGCAACTCCTTTGGAATTTTAAAATTCTCAAAATCACATTTTAAAATTTGTCATCTTAACGTTTAGGAATTCTTGCATTGTTTTCATCAAAGTTTCATTTGTAGCAACAACAGGCAATGTGGGAAAACACATGTTAAGTGTGTCTGAAAGATTTCAAGATTCCTCTAAAAGGCACATACTTTTTCAAACAGATCCCCCACTCTGCTTGAACAGCCTTGGAGCTGCAAGTTGAGGGAATTCAAGTGACCAGTAATATCACACAGAAAAGCTACATGTGACATAGAGGGGATATTATTCATAATTTCTAGAAACTTGAAAGGTTTGTTGGTCTTGTGATTTAAAAGAAATTCAATTATTTCTTTTTGAAGTGCACCAAAGCTCTCTAACATGCGCCCCCTAATAAACCAGTGAATATCTTTGTGCTGCAACAGGTCATTGTATTCGTCTGAAATGTCTTGTAAAAGAGCTTTAAAAAGATGATGTTGCAAGCTAGAAGTTGAGTGTATGTAGTTCACTAATCTCATCACAATATCTTGTGACAAAGTTCCTCCTCTATCTTGGTGGGTCCTGCGCTTATTGGCGGATTTTCTTGCCTCAGAGATTCACCATGTGGGTTGGGGAACAGCCCAGAGACCTTCCCCTCTGGAAGAACCCACAGTCCAGGTCAATTGGGAGGTTTGGGGGGAACCCGGGCCCGCCCTCTACTCCGGGTTCCAGCCCAGGGCCCTGTGGACTGCAGCTGTCTATAGTGCCTCCTGTAACAACTGCATGACAGCTACAACTCCCTGGGCTACTTCCCCATGGCCTCCTCCAAACACCTTCCTTATTCTCACCACAGGACCTTCCTCCTGGTGTCTGATAACGCTTGTGCTCCTGAGTCCTCCAGCAGCACTCACTCTCAGCTCCTTGCGCCTCTTACTCCCAGCTCCTCACACTCGCACCACAAACTGAAGTGAGCTCCTTTTTAAAACCCAGGTGCCCTGATTAGCCTGCCTTAATTGATTCTAGAAGCTTCTTCTTAATTGGCTCCAGGTGTCCTAATTAGCCTGCCTGCCTTAACTGGTTCTAGCAGGTTCCTGATTACTCTAGTACAGCCCCTGCTCTGATCACTCAGGGAACAGAAAACTACTCATCCAGTGACCAGTATATTTGCCCTCTACCAGACTCCTGTACCCCACTGGTCTGGGTCTGTCACAATCTATTGGGTTTTTTTCAAGTCACCAGACAATTTATTGCACAGGACAGTCTGGTGAATCATAGAATCATAGAAGATTAGGGTTGGAAGAGACCTCAGGAGGTCATCTAGTCCAATCCCCTGCTCAAAGCAGGACTGACACCAACTAAATCATCCCAGCCACGGCTTTGTCAAGCCGGGCCTTAAAAACCTCTAAGGACGGAGATTCTACCACCTCCCTAGGTAACCCATTCCAGTGCTTCATCACCCTCATTTCCCTCCACTGGACTCTCTCCAATTTGTCCACATCCCTTCTGTAGTGGGGGAACAAAACTGGATGCAATACTCCAGGTGTGGCCTCAACAGTGCCAAATAGAGGGGAATAATCACTTCCCTCGATCTGCTGGCAATGCTCCTACTAATACAGCCCAATATGCCATTGGCCTTCTTGGCAACAAGGGCAAACTGCTGACTCATATCAAGCTTCTCATCCACTGTAATCCTCAGGTCCTTTTCTGCAGAACTGCTGCTTCGCCAGTTGGTCCCCAGCCTATAGCAGTTCATGGGATTCTTCCTTCCTAAGTGCAGGACTCTGCATTTGTCCTTGTTGAACCTCATCAAGTTTCTTTTGGCCCAATCCTCCAAGTTGTCTAGGTCACTCTGGACCCTATCCCTACCCTCCAGCATACCGACCTCTCCCCCCAGTTTAGTGTCATCTGCAAACTTGCTGAGGGTGCACTTCATCCCATCATCCAGATCATTAATAAAGATGTTGAACAAAACCGGCCCCAGGACCGACCCCTGGGGCACTCTGCTTGATACCTGCTGCCAACTAAACATCGAGCCGTTGATCACTACCCGTTGAGCCTGACAATCTAGCCAGATTTCTATGCATTTTATAGTCCATTCAGCCAATCCATACTTTTTTTTAACTTGCTGTAGTGACACTGCTGAATGATGTGACACTTGCTGTAGTGACATTGCTGAATGATGCAGTGTAGAATAGTTAGTGATTCCCTGCCAAACGTGAAGCAAAACCCTTCTCTTTCCCTGTCATGGAAGGCAACTCTTTCTGTAACAAGCAAGTTTACTTTCTGCAGATCTAAACCACTTTTTTCAAAAAAGCCCTTTACCTTTTCAAAAATGATCTCTCCTGTGGTGTAGGTTTCTAATGCTGATGTAAGCACAGTCTGAATGAGCTCTCCCCTGACATCTAGTGATGAGCTGGGAAAGAGGACTTCAGGATCTGATCTTGTTTGTATGGGCACACCCACCCTGTCTAGGTGCTCAGCACGATAGGATTGCTTGCCCAAATGATCATTTTTCATAGAATCATAGAAGATTACAATTGGAAGTGACCTCAGGAGATGATCTAGTTCAACCCCCTGCTCAAAGCAGGACCAACCCCAACTAAATCATCCCAGCCAGAGCTTTTTCAAGCCGGCCTTTAAAACCTCTAAGGATGGAGATTCCACCACCTCCCTAGATAACCCATTCCAATGCTTCACCACCCTCCTAATGAAATAGTTTTTCCTAATATCCAACCTAGATATTGGGATATTTTGGCTGGTGTTGGATCCCCAGTCTCCTTGTATTGGGACAGGAGTTATAAAGGGTTGTTATCCTTGTTGTGTGAATCAATGGTAGCAGAACTGTGCTTGGTGTACCCTGATTGAGGGACTCACCCTCAACTAAACAGCACTCACTTGGCAGGGGACATGGGTTCCAAAGCCCAGTGAGTTCAGAGAGGGTGGGGGACTGGCACTTGTGCCTGGTGGTGTGGGTCCTGCTTAAGGGCCCTAGACACCATTTGATTCTTCCTCCCATGTCTGTGTAATAACAAAACTGATTAAGATTCAATGGAGAATCTTGCTACACCCTGCAGAGCTGAAATCACTGATATCTAGGTCTAAGCATTAGACATGCTTTGACACAGTGTCTCTGATGCAAGAGACTGCCCAGTGTTCACCAGCAGTGAGGCTCCCCCACTAACAGCTAAAATCACTGAGAGTGGTATTAAGTGGTGGGACCTGAAGACATCTGGCCGATGGGCTGGCAGAGAAGCCCGGAACACTGATCAGACTGCAGGGTTGCTGGTGAAGAGGAGCGGCGAGCGAGTGCCCAGGCAGCTGAGCGAGTAAGGTGCCTTCTTGCCCCCCTCTTCACCCAGGATGGGAGGTGAACTCTGCAGATGCACCTCTGAACTCTAGGTCTGCACTGACCAAGGACAACAACTGTGAGTGAGGTGCAGAGAAGGGAGGGGCACGTTAAAGGGAGTTTTGGTTGCTGGACTTAAGAAACTAAAGGAAAAGGACATTGTCCAGCTTACTTGGGTGTGGGTCTTTTGCTCATTGTTTATGTTAATGAACCCTGTTTGTGGTGTTTTCTCAATTTAATGCCAGGTTACTTCCCTCCTTTCAATAAATGTTTCTTTATAGGTGCCCAGGGTTTGGTGTGTAATTGTCCCAGGTCACTGGGTGGGGGCTCAAGCCAGTTTTGTGTTGTATTGTTGTAAAGGAACCCCTAGATACTGAACCTGTCCCTTGTTGCTGCCAACTCTGACTGGCAGAAGGGTTAGAGTATTAAGCACAACATTTCTTCCTTGAAAATTTCACCATCATAAAATCTAACAAACAGCAATAACTGGGCAGTGTCCTGTAAATCGCTTGAATTGTCCACTGCAAGAGTATTTTTTACATCAGAAAGCAGTACTGACAAACAATCCTTGTAAACTACCTCCATTCTTTACACTCCCATGGAATCAGACAGGGAAACTTGCTTCATACGGTTCACAATGTCATCTTTGTTTTTATCTCCAGCAAAAAGCTTCTCCCGCATTTCTAATGTGCATTCCTTCACAAGCTCAGCACCCAGTAGAGGATTTTTCTTTTTAGCTAGTACCCACATTAAAATAGAAGCAGCTGCTCTTTTCCCTGGGCAGTGACTGATGTTGTGAGAATGACATTTGAAGTGTGATATGAAGACTTGCAGTTTTGTTACGTCTTGCAACACTGCCAGGAGGATAGGCCATGTTGAAATTACAGTGCTTTGATTCAAAGTGGTGCCTCACCTTGATGACCTTACAGATGGATACCATTGTTTGACATATTAAACACAAAGGTTTTGCATTTAAATGGCGTGGCATAATAAAAGCTCTTTGTCCAGTTTGGGTTAAAAACTCAGTTTTCGTTGTTGACTTTGCAACATTTACTCCCAGTTGCATTCCTTTTTTGCTCCATTTCCATCTATAATGAAAAAATGGGTGGTGGCCAGGGCCAACCTTAGGGAAAATGGTGTCCTGGGTGTACTTGTATTTTGGCACCCTTTGTCATAAATCTAAAGGGAAGGGTAACAACCTTTATGTATGCAGTAACATAAAATCCTTCCTGGCCAGGGGTGCAGAATCCCTTTATCTGTAAGGGGTTAAGAGCTCAAATAACCTGGTACCTGGTTGGCACCTGACCAAAAGGACCAATAAGGAAAGAAGATACTTTCAAATCTGGGGGTGGGGGGTATGACGCAGTAAGGAGTGGGGCGGATTGACCTGGGAAGGTCATCTAGTTTTACTGGGACTGTCTGCAGGTGGAGTGAGACGGCTGCAGTAGAGTTTTCAGTTTTGGGCTGGCTAGGGAATCGGAGGGAACCCCAAGGCTGGGGTCTAAGATCCCTATCCTTCAGAAGGACCTGACTAAGGGGTCCTGTTTATGCCTACAAGCTCTGGTTTGGACTGTGTTCCTGTCATCTAATAAACCTTCTGTTCTACTGTCTGGCTGATAGTCACGGTGAATACCAGGAAGCCGGGGGTGCAGGGCCTTGTCTCCCGCAAACTCCGTGACGCGGGGGAGAGAGGTTTTGTTTGGGCTCTCTTTGTTTATTCCCTTGCTGGACAGAGAGAGGGAAAAAAATCTCCTAAAAACATACCTGAAATGAGCATCTAAAATAACAGAAATTGTAAGGTAAGACAAGAAAATGCGTTAGATTATCTTTTGTTTTAGCTTGTGAATTTTCCCTATGCTAAGACCGAGTTTTATTCCTGTTTTTTGTAACTTTGAAGCTAAGCCTAGAGGGGAATCCTCTGTGTTTTAAATCTTTTTATTTACCCTGTAAAGTTACCCTCCATCCTGATTTTGCAAGTGTGATTCTTTTCCTTTTTTTTAAATAAAATTCTTCTTTTAAGAACCTGATTGATTTTCAGTGTCCTAAAACCCCAGGGGTTTGGTCTGTGCTCACTTTGTAACCAATTGGTAGGTATATTATTCTCAAGCCTCCCCAGGAAAGGGGGTGAAGGGGTTTGGGGGAATATTTTGGGGAAACGGGGCTCCAAGTGGCCCTTTTTGCTGGATTTTTGTCAAAATCACTTGGTGGTGGCAGCAATACCGTTCAAGGACAAGGAAAGGATTTGTGCCTTGGGGAAGTTTTAACCTAAGCTGGTAGAAATAAGCTTAGAGGGTCTTTCATGTGGGTCCCCATATCCGTATCCCAGAGTTCAGAGTGGAGAGAGAACCCTGACATGGTGGCAGTGCAGTGGGATCATTTTGAACCAGAAGCACAGACCTCAGGATTTTAAAAGGACACATTTTTTCTTTTGGCTGCTTGAAAAACAGGGAGGTTTTTTTTTAAAGGATAATTTTTTTTTGTTAGCTGAGAGCAGCTGGAGTTTATTTTCTTTGCCTGTGTGCAGAGTAGTTAAGTTCCTGCAAGGGAATTCACAAGCTGTTTTTTTTTCTAGCTCTCAGGATAGGCTAGGCCAGGAGTAGGCAACCTATGGCACTCATGCCGAAGGCGGCATGCAAGCTGATTTTCAGTGGTACTCACATTGCCTGGGTCCTGGCCACTGGTCCAGGGGGCTCTGCATTTTAATTTAATTTTAAATGAAGCTTCTTAAACATTTTAAAAACTTTATTTACTTTACATACAGCAATAGTTTGGTTATATATTATAGACTTATAGAAAGAGACCTTCTAAAAATGTTAAAATGTATTACTGGCACGCAAAACCTTAAATCAGAGTGAATAAATGAAGACTCGGCACACCACTTTTGAAAGGTTGCCGACCCCTGGGCTAGGCTAAGCGGAGGAAGGCTAGGATGAGAGAAAGTGAGGTCCAAAAGAAACTAGAATTAGACAGATTGGAATCTGAAGAGAGGCAGAAAAAACATGAAAGACAAATGGCCTTAAAGCGCTTGGAGTTGGACACGGAGGAGAGGAAGGAGGCAAAACGCTTGGAGGCAGAGGCGAAACTCTTGGTTACAGAGTTAGAGCTGAAGCACTTAGATCTGGAAATGGCTAATCTGGGTCTACCAGATAACCCTAACATTCCTTCTCCAGGTACTGCTTCCCATTCCAAAAAATTTCCCACCTATAAGGTAGGCGATGATACAGAGGCCTTCTTAGAAAATTTCAAAATGGCCTGCCTTTTGTACAGCATCTCTACAGACCAGTATATGGTGGAGACGAGGCCATAGCTTAGTGGATCCTTAGCAGAGATGGCAGCTGAAATGCCTAGGGAACACATGAACAGCTACAAACTTTTTTTTTTAAAGGCCAGAATTAGAATGAGGTTAACATCCAAGCATGCCCGTCGGTAGTTCAGAGCCCTAAGGTGGAAACCAGACATGGCATTTTCCCAACATGCCTACCACAGTGTAAAAAATTGGGATGCCTGGATATCAGGAGCAAGCGTTAAATCTCTGGAAGTTCTGTCTTTCCTAATGCAAATGGAGCAGTTCTTAGAGGGTGTTCCTGAGGAAATAGAAAGGTACATCCTAGATGGAAAGCTCAAAACTGTAATCGAAGCGGGGGGAGATCGGAACCAAATGGGTGGAGGTGGTGGAAAAGAAAAAAGCTAATAGCAGTTGGAGTGGATATCAGAAGGGGAAACCTGAGACAACATCCTACCACTGGGGGCAGCCCAATCCCCACCTACATCCCAAGGAAAACCCCAAACACCTTATCGTCCCACCACACCAGTATCTAGCCCCAGTGACCAGGCAGCTGGACAATGTTTTAAATGTAATGAGCTGGGGTATGTGAAGGCCAACTGCCTGAAGAACCCCCACAGATTGCAGTTCATTACACCAGAATCACACCAAAGGTCCTCAGGCTGAGATGCCTCCCAGATACCCTCAGAGCGAAGGGAAACTGTGAGTGTGGGTAGGAAGAAGGTTACTGCATGGAGGGACACTGGAGCACAGGTGTCAGCTATCCACCAATCCTTAGTGGACCCCAAATTCATCAACCCAGAGGCCCAAGTGACGATTCAACCCTTCATGTCAAACTCTTTAATCTTGCCTACAGTCAAGTTGCCTGTCCAGTACAAGGGCTGGTCAGGAATGTGGACTTTTGCAGTCTATGATGATTATCCCATTCCCATGCTGTTGGGGTAAGACTTGGCCAACCATGTGAAGCAAGCCAAGAGGGTGGGAATGGTCACCCGCAGCCAGGCTAAGCAAGACTTCACACCTATCCCTGTTACTGAGCCTTCTACCAGGGTCCCGTCTGTGTTACCAGAACCCCAAACTGAGGTGGTAGAATCGGATTCCCTGCCAATGACTGCAACAGCCGTAGTGGATCCAGTCCCAGAGACCCAAACAGAACCAGTCCCAGAACTGGAATGGGCGGAGCAACCAGCACCAGAACCATTGCCAGCACTGAATCCAGTGCTTGCAACCCTGTCTACAACTCCAATGCCAAAGGGCACCACCGAGCCTGCCCTGGCAGCAGCAAATAAACCTATGCAAGAGGCTCACCGGAACCTGAAATACAACATAGTGCACCAGTGGAGAGTGGTTCACAGTCAACGGAAATAGCCCCATCACCTACATCGCTTCCAGAGGGACCAACCCCAAGTCCACAATCCAATGAGGGACTGATGTCTCCAGCATCAAGGGAACAGTTTCAGGCCAAGCAGGAAGCAGATAAAAGCCTCCAGGGAGCTTGGACGGTGGCACGGAGCAACCCACCACCTCTCAGCTCTTCTAATGAATCCTAGTTTGTTGTAGAAAGAGAACTTTTATACAAGGAAACTCTTTTGGTGGTCACCATGAACACTGGCATCCTCAAAGACAGTAGGTAGTTCCAACTAAGTACCAGGTAAAGCTCTTGAGCTTAACCCCCGATCATCCTAGTGGCCATGCTGGGGTGAACAGGACCAAAGACCTTTTGGGAAGGTCATTCCACTGGGAGGGAATGGGCAAGGATGTTTCTACCTATGTCCGGTCTTGTGAGGTGTGCCAACAAGTGGGAAAACCCCAGGACCAGGTCAAAGCCTCTCTCCAGCCACTCCCCATAATTGAGGTCCCATTTCAGGAAGTAGCTGTGGATATTCTGGGTCCTTTTCTGAAAAAGACACCCAGAGCAAAGCAGTACATACTGACTTTCATGGATTTTGCCATCCGATGTCCGGAGGCAGTAGCTCTAAGCAACACCAGGGCTAAAAGCATGTGCCAAGCATTAACAGACATTTTTGCCAGGGTAGGTTGCCCCTCCGACATCCTTACGGATTTGGGAACTAATTTCCTGGCAGGGACCATTAAAAGCCTGTGAATCTAAACTTTGGAATTTTTCTTTCTGTGGACATTTTTGATACTTTAACTTTTTGTTCTAATTCCGAACAGAAACAAATTCTGAAATGTCGAAATTCACCACGGAATAAAAATCGCATTTTTGACCAGCTCTAGAAACAAGAGCACGACAGCAACCCTGACACCTCTGAAGCACTGGGCCAGCTGAGCTCTCTGCAGTGCTCTGTGAGGTGCTGTATACATTAGCAATCACTAGCTGCATTGTTCAGTAGGCTGGCAAGTCTGTGCTCTACATTGTTCTAACTGTGTCATGGCGGAAGGTGGTACAAACATCCTCAATGTCACTCTCAAGCAAACAACAGCCTAGCTGACAAAAACCCCCATTACATACATATGAGGCTGTTTCATTTATAGTTCCACATTACACATGCTTTTCAATTACCAAGGGATGGTGACCTAAATTCATGCAGTTTGGGAGAGATCTGTTCCAATCTCGGACAGGCACTCTATTCTCATATTCTATTATTCCTATTTCTCAGAATGGCTACTGAACATCAGATCATTTTATGCATTTACATTCTTCCTTTATCAAACTGCAAATGGTGTCTCAGAACCTGGTAGGGTGGTGGTGTTTTTTTTACAAGTAATGCAAAAAATAGAGTCTGGGAAGTACCTCTGAGTCAGAAATATTGCCATTCAACACCTCGATATCGGGGTCCCTCCAATCCTCAGTGATCGATGAGATGTAATTTTCCGTTAAAGCATCCCAAACCCTGAAAGTAGAAAAACATGTTAATATATGTCAGGTGGGGCCAACCCTGCCTAAAAGAAAGAAGGGCTCACCTCAAGAAAGAATTCTCTCAGCATGCTCTGTTCAAAACAGCCCTGAAACAACATTCATAGAGTCATAGATTTTAAAGCCAGAAAGGACAATTATGATCATTTAGTCTGACTGCCTGCATAACCCAGGCCAGAGAACCTCAGACAATAAATTCTGCATCAAACCCATAACTTCTGTTTGAGCTATAGCATATTTTTGAAAGATATCCATTCTTGATTTGAAAACTTCAGGGATTGAGAAACCAATTGCTGATTATCCTCGCTGTTTAAAAAAAAAAGTGTCTTATTTCTAGTCTGAATTTGTCTAGCTTCCACTTCCAACCATTGGACTTCTGTCTGCTAGTTTAAGGAGCCCTCTGCTCTCAGAAATCTCTTTCCCCTGTAGGTACTTGTAGACTGTGATCAAGTCACCTCTTAACCTTCTCTTGTATAGACTCAACAGATTGATGTTCTTTAGTCTTCTACTACAACACAGGGTTTCCAGACCTCAGATTATTCTTATAGCTCTTTTCTGAACCCTTTCCAATTTTTCAACATTAAAGAGACAAGACCATGAAGGAAATGGAAATACCAGTGCACCAGCTACTACATTATGTGTGGCTGAATGACCAAAGCAGCAGCAAAATCAGCTCCTTCATAACAAGGATTTAACAGCCAAGCTCAACATGATAAACTGCAGCAATTCATGCAATCTCTGACTCCACCCCCTCTAGATGCAGCCAAAAATCAGCTACTAACAAGAGGATTTTTAAGTATTAAGAGTTTTGCAGCACAGGTGAAACTATTAGAGAGCTCTCTTTAGTCAAACGGACCGGTAGTCACAGTCTGCTCAAAAAGGAATGAGGGGGGAAAAATAGCACTTTAGACCAAACAAAATGGCTGCAGCCAGACACCAGGTCCAAGGCACTGAAGCAACAGAATCAACAACTACCACTACCACCATGATGGCCATAGGGATAGTAGAAGTAATTGATGAAAATATGATGACTGTGATAGGGAAAAAATGGGAAACAGGCAGTATGTTTCTCACTGCAAGGTATTCTGGCTGGCCAGCAACAATGATACATGGACTGAACTTCAAGGGGAGCTGAGATAGGGAATGACTGTGGCTCACCCCAACCCCCAGACAGTTCTTTGAATTCTGTCTTTCCTCCTTGCTGTCTACTTTTGCAAACAAATGTAAATTGAAAACACAGTAGGCCACCCCCCTCCAGCAGATAATGATTGACCATGCTCTATTGTAATTAGACTGCCTAACTATAAGAATAGACAAGCAATGTCAACGGGTAATTTAAGAAGAAAGAGGACGGTATCTTTTGCCTGTGTCTTGTCTGGAGATCTAGCTTTATATGTGCTGTATGCATAAAACGCAAGAGGCTCACTGAGACATGAGAACATGCACAGCATAGTTAGAACCTTCGGAAAATTAATGGGGAAGTGTTTAACGAGTACTACTGGGCATGTATAAATGGTGATTTTCTGAGATTTATAACTCAGACAAATCTGGACAGATTTTCAAGAGCGCAACACCTTTGACCTATGAACTGACCCTTGCCAAATTTCAAACATCTGTTAAAAACAATGGAGACAAGAGAGCTGTTCACGGAAATGGTTGGGAAAATATTTAACACTGACAAAACAACTTATTCTTCAATAATCTTGTTTTCAGAAACAACTGAATCATTTTTTGCTGAAACTTAAAATAAAATTCAGTCTTGGCACAGATCCAGAGTAGAAATTTTCAGCCTGAATCATTAAAGTTTGGCAAAGTTATAAATAAATGAAAACAGAGGTTTCAACAAAAAGTGCTAGACAACTTTATCTACTGCTATTGCTACTGTTCTACCAATAATAATACCAAGAGGTAAATAGTGGTGTGCTGTGACCAGTGTTCAATATAGTTATAAATGATCTGGAAAAGGGGGTAAACAGTGAGGTGGCAAAGTTTGCAGACAATACAAAATTACTCAGGATAGTTAAATCCAAAACAGACTGTGAAGAGTTACAAAGGGATCTCACAAAACTGGATGATTGGGCAATAAAATGGCAGATTAAATTCAATGTTGATAAATGCACAGTAATGCACATTGGAAAACATAATCCCAACTATCTATACAAAATTAAGGGATCTAAATTAGCTATTACCACTCCAGAAAAGATCTTGGAGTCATTGTGCATAGTTCTTTGAAAACATCTGCTCACTGTGCAGCAGGAGTCAAAAAAGCGAACAGAATGTTATGACCTGTTAGGAAATGGATAGATAAGTCAGAAAATATCATAATGTCACTAGATATGTCCATGGTACATCCACACCTTGAATACTGTAGGCAGTTCTGGTTGCCCCATCTCAAAAAAGATATATTAGAATTGGAAAAGGTACAGAGAAGGGCAACAAAAATGATTAAGGACATGGAACAACTTCCATATGAAGAAAGATTAAAAAGACCAGGACTTTTCATCTTGAAAAAGAGATGAATAAGATGAATATGAAAAATATCATATACCCGTATGATAGAGGTCTATAAAATCATGAATGATGTGGAGAAAGTGAATAAAGAAGTGTTATTTACTCCTTCACATAACACAAGAATGAGGGGTCACCCAATGAAATTAACAGGCAGAGATTTAAAAGAAGCAAAAGGAAGTACTTCTTCACACAACACACAGTCAACCTGTGGAACTCATTGCCAGGAGATGTTGTGAAGGTCAGAATGATAATAGAGTTCAAAAAAGAATTACATAAGTTCATGGAGTACAGGACCATCAATGGCCATTAGCCAAGATCGTCAGGAACACAACCCCATGCTCTGGTTGTCCCTAGCCTGTGACTGCCAGAAACAGGAGTGGACAACAGGGTATGGATCACTTGATAATCTGGAGGATGGCGTGGATTGCACCCTCAGCAAGTTTGCAGATGACACTAAACTGGGAGGAGTGGTAGATACACTGGAGGGTAAGGATAGGATACAGAGGGACCTAGACAAATTAGAGGATTGGGCCAAAAGAAAACTGATGAGGTTCAACAAGGACAAGTGCAGAGTCCTGCACTTAGGATGAAAGAATCCCATGCATTGCTACAGGCTAGGGACTGAGCGGCTAGGCAGCAGTTCTGCAGAAAAGGGCCTAGGGATTACAGTGGACGAGAAGCTGGATATGAGTCAACAGTGTGCCCTTGTTGCCAAGAAGGCTAACTGCATTTTGGGCTGTATAAGTAGGAGCATTGCCAGCAGATCGAGGGACGTGATCATTCCCCTCCATTCGGCATTGGTGAGGCCTCATCTGGAGTACTGTGTTCAGTTTTGGGCCCCACACTACAAGAAGGATGTGGAAAAATTGGAAAGAGTCCAGCAGAGGGCAACAAAAATTATTAGGGGGCTGGAGCACATGACTTATGAGGAGAGGCTGAGGGAACTGGGATTATTTAGTCTGCAGAAGAGAAGAATGAGGGGGGATTTGATAGCTGCTTTCAATTCCTGAAAGGGGGTTCCAAAGAGGATGGATCTAGACTGTTCTCAGTGGTAGCAGATGACAGAACAAGGAGTCTCAAGTTGCAGTGGGGGAGGTTTCGGTTGGATATTAGGAAAAACTTTTTCACTAGGAGGGTGGTGAAGCACTGGACTGGGTTACCTAGGGAGGTGGTGGAATCTCCTTCCTTAGAGGTTTTTAAGGCTGGACTTGACAAAGCCCTGGCTGGGATGATTTAGTTGGCGTTGATCCTACTTTGAGCAGGGGGTTGGCTAGATGACCTCCTGAGGTCCCTTCCAACCCTGATATTCTATGATTCTATGATGACTGCCTGTTCTGTTCATTCCCTCTGAAGCACCTGGCATTGTCCACTGTCAGAATACTGGATAATAGGCTAGATGGACCACTGGTCTGATATTCTTATATAAGAGAATTAAAACAAATAGAAGGGAATATGTCTCTGAATTTCGAGCCGGTCTAAACCCTCCTCTGCCTGTATTCTCTGTTATGTTCAAAGAACACTTAGAAATCATGTTGGTTAAGCAGCCCTACACGGAGAGGCTACTGAGCACTGTTCAGGTGAAGGACGTGAACCTGGGAAGAGCCCTGGACAAGGCATTAGACTAGGATAGGGAGTTAGGCTCCCAATGTCAAAGCACTGATCTTCCTTGAGTGCTGGCCACCCAGCTGCTCAGGACACTCCCACTGAATTGCAGCCTTAGGGCTGCTCAATATTAGAAGTTCAGTTGATCCAGCTACATCATTCAGGTTTATAAAAAATTCACACCTGTGAGAGATGTAGTGAAGCTAACATAAGCCCCTGTGTAGACAGCACTAGGTTGATGGAAGCATTCTTCTGTCGACCTAGCTACTGCCTCTCAGGGAGGTGGATTTAGGACAGCAATGGAAGAACCCTTTCTGTCACTGTGGTAAGTGTCTACACTGAAGCACCACAGCTGTACAATGGCAATGTTGCAGCTGTGCAGTTGAAGCATTTCTAGTGGAGACAAGTGCTCAGTCAGTCGAAGAATTCTCTACAATCTCACAGAGCCGTTTGCTAACTTGCAACATGTGAGCAGAAGGACTCAGTCCATGATACAGATGACAGCGGGGTTCACTAAAACCCAGGGAACATCAGCAAAACAGAGGGGGCCAGGTTTCTCTTGCTTGGGGATGTTGCATTGATTGAAACCATGTTTCTTCAATAAGCTGCACTGTAGTACCTATGGTAAATGGAACCATGACACCTTGACTGATCATTCTCCACAGCAGTGTAGAGGAGAAAACCACAAAGGGAAGTCACTAAGTCCTATTAATACAAGTATGAGCCACAGGACTAGTTATTCAACTATGCAAGAACTCGGGCTGCAGCCAGGCTTTGCAGAGCCCTTTGGTGACATGTTTCCTCTTACACACTCCAGTGGTGACATCAGCACTGCATTTTCACTCTTCTACCATTTTTCTTCTT